TCTCACTGGGATTAAACATGACAATAGGTCTGATCTGATTTCATCATCATTTAAAAAAATCATCTATTATTTTTCACTTTATGTTTCTGTGTGGGAGCAAACTGTTGAAATCCTTACTTAAGGTATACTAAGCTGATCTTCTGTATATTAAGATAATCGAAAATGAATCTTGATGTGAATGGAAGGGGAGAGGGAGTGGGAAAGGGGAGGGTTGTGGGTGGGAGGGACGGTATGGGGGGGAAGCCATTGTAATCCATAAGTCGCACTTTGGAAATTTATATTCATTAAATAAAAGTTAAAAAAATAAAAAAGAAGGGTTTGTGTGAAAATGTATAAAGATCAGACTCATATCAAAACACACACTGCGTGCCTTGAATATACACAATGTTTATTTCTCAGTTATACTGTAATAAGGCTGGAAAAATAAAACATGCAAAAATAGGTTCCTATTCTTAAGATGTAAATAAAACTAAGGAACTTAGGTTAATATTGTGGGGTTTTGGTAGGCTTCATGGGACAGCAATGATTTTTAAAACATTCATGATTGGGGCAGACACTGTGGTGTAGCAGGTGAGGCCACCAAATGCAGTGCCGGCATCCCATATGGGCACCAGTTCAAGTCCCAGCTGCTCCACTTCCGATCCAGCTCTCTGCTATGGCTTGAGAAAGCAGTAAAGGATGGCCCAAGTCCTTGGGCCCTTGCACCCACATCGGAGACCTGGAAGAAGTTCCTGGATCCTGGCTTCAGATCAGCACAGTTCTGGCCATTGCGGCAAACTGGGGAGTGATCCAGCAGATGAAACACCTCTCTCTGCTTCTCCTTCTCTCTGTGTGTAACTCTGACTTTCAGATAAATAAATCTTAAAAAAATTCATGAACTTGACTAAACTAAATTTCAGGCGGTTTATACCTTGAAAGTAAAGATTCAGGAAGTCTATCAAGAGAATATTTAAGACAATATCCAAGTTAACATATTACACTGTCATCTCACCTCCCTCAAACTGAAAACTCAGAAATAGCAAAGGAAAGGAAGTGTATCTGAAGGAAACCAGGAAAGTGAACAGTGAAATGAGAATTATAAATTCCTACATGCTATCCTCCCACCCAGGTGTGTACATTCCTATGTGCATATAACATAATTACATATTACAGGCAGGTTGAGAATTAGCCCAATTAAACTATGGAACTGAAATGCAGGGCCTGCTTCATCAGTATGTGACCAGTGACACTGCAACTGGACCAATCTCAAAAGAGTATACTCCCTGCTGTCCAAATTCTTACTGAATTTAACTGGAATTTGTGCTTCGTAAATGAAGTCTGATAGGAAGATGGGGCAAGTGCACAGGTTGAGCTCTCACTGACTCACTGGGACAGGTCTTGGTCACAGTCCTCAGGTTCACTGCCCTAAAAAGCCTTCCATTTCCCATCACTGGTGACCACTGTGGCCCTTGGTTCAAAGCAATACTTGCTTGTGGGCACATTATGTTTAGAGAACACACGTTTGGGGAGGCACCATGGTAGTTTCTCACCTAAACTCAATCTCAATATCTAGGGTTTCCATATTTAAATGCATGACAAATTTTTAAACAACACAATCTGCATTTTCAGTTCCTACTAGGAGCTACACATTATGGAGTTAGTTCTGTTAACGTTTAGTATTTACACTTTCTTTTAATTTTCACAATGACATTCTTTCAGTTCATTTTATAATCACAAGAAAGGAAGGAGGAAGGAGGGCAGGATGCTGGGGGGAGGAGGGGAAGGTGGGAAGTATCACTACACTCCTCAATCTCTGTATATGAAATACATGGTATCTCTTCACCTTTATATAAATAAAAATTATTAAAAAAAGAAATTTAGCTGTGAAAACTGCAAGATGAAATATACAAACCAAATGGAGATTCCGAGTATTTAAGTTAAAGAACAAACCAAAACATGACAATACCAAAATATTAAACCAGGATGCTCACAGCAGTATGGCAGGGCCTTCCCCATGGAATGAGTAGCAGCACAGGTCTACAGCATCTTAGTCACCAGGGGTGGAGCCTCTGCCAGGGTTAGAGGTGCTCACTCTGCACTTGCTTCACTGGATCAATAGGTGGCAATGTCTTCACTGCTCAGGCTGCTTTACAACCCATTTTCATAAATGGCAGGACCCCAGCAGATATCATGAGGTATTTTACTGGAAAACTGTGGATCCCATTACATTTAGCATGTTATCTCTATGTACCTCAAAAATGTAGGGGTCTGCCAAGAATTACTCAAATTCTACCTGCATAGAGCAGAGGGCTATACACCATGAACATTAGTCTACCACAAGAATATTTCTTGGGGACGGCACTGTGGCAGAGCAGGAAAAGCTTCTGCCTGCAGTGCCGGCGTCTCATAAGAGCGCTCGTTTGAGTCCCCACTGCTCCACTTCCGATCCAGCTCTGTGATATGGCCTAGGAAAGTGGAAGACGGCCCAAGTGCTTGGGCCCCTGCACCCACGTGAGAGACCCAGAAGAAGCTCCGGGCTCCTGGCTACATATCAGCTCAGCTCTGACCACTGCGGCCCTATGGGGAGTGAACCAGCAGATCGAAGACCTCTCTCTTTCTCTCTCTCTGCCCCTACCTCTGTGCAGCTCTGCCTTTCAAATAGATAAATAAATCTTCAAAACAACCTTTCTTTCCCCATTTGACACTCACATGTCATCTTCCACAGTAATCAGGGGGGAAATCAAGCAAGGAGATTCATTAGTGTAGGAGAGGTTGCCAATCACATAAAGCTCAATGTTTGTTGAAGCAGCAATTTGAAATTTAACATCATATGTAAGAAAATGTTTACAAAGTTTAAATGTCTTTGAAAGCTGCACTCTGAAAACTACACATATACCAATTCATTGAAGGATTTCCTGGACTCTATGCCTGTTCTCTCACTATAGCACTTTAGTAGAAAGCTTCAAAATATTTCCAATATTGAACCACAAGTCACAGTTTTAGTTTTCCCATTCATAATTATTGAGGCCTACATAACTCACAAACAAAATTGTATAAAGGTGAAACAAAGGCATTGTTTGTAGCAAATTCTCCATCTAGTTTTCCCCCATAGATCTGACTTTCATTAAACAGAGGAAAAGCATCTTAAGATGTATGGCATAAACCACTCTAATTTTGGAATTTCCCCAGAAAGCTTCTATATTTTAACTTCTTCTTAGTAGTACACTAGAAATTGCTAGCCTAGGATTTTTGTGGGAGATGCTAAAGTTTAATGGTGGTCACAGGAGCAGAGGTGTGGAAAAAGTGACGGAATTGAGACATAAAAGCAAAAAGCCAAAGAATCCCACATTCCTGCGGCTTTGAGAAGGGTGTAGGTACCAGCCAGCCTTTGAGATGCCTGTTGATTGTTATCAGAGAAGATCTGTGGATTGGGAGCATGAGAAAACAAAAGAACAGATTTTTCTTGGTGTGTTGTGTGTGAGGGAAAGGAATTATGGAATCAAGGATCAAGTTTGAAAATAGCCAAAAGGAGAAAACCATGGGCAATATAAACAGGTCTAGCTAATAATGGGAGAAAAAGCCAAGACCTTCCTGAAACACAGTACAGAGATAAGGCTGTCTAGGATGAGAAGACCAGTGTGAACAAACACTTAGACTTAACATGGGGTCAATTCAACTTCTGGATTTGAATAATTGGCACTAACAGGAACACCAAGAGTGGATAATGAAGAAACTGGAACATCCATGAGGACTTGCACCAAGGGGTGGTTTCTGAGTAGTCACTGGTCAGCATCTCATAAGATGAGGTTCAAGGAATGACCCTTGGGTGTCAACACTAGTAACTGCTAACCAGAAGGAAGGCAGACTTAATTCACCACATACTGTAAGAACCAAACCACAAAACACAATACCTACGGATTTTGAAATTTTGTGTTGTTTAAAACACAGGGACAAATAGGGATTTCATTTCATCAACCGAAGTTTTAGAACCAATTACGTGGCAACCATTGTGGATACTGTGCAGAAACAATGCCCCTGCCTTCTCAAACCTAAAAATGCTCTAAACATATCATAATCCAAATGATTTCAATATTTCATATTTCAAAATCTAATTTAGAAGTAAAAAGAACCTGTATTGAGTTATTCAGAACCTTATAGTTTTATAACTGCAACAAATATACTTAGGAAGTAATGCTGACTTCTAAAAATTTCGGTGCCATTCTCTGATCTAGGTGCTTCTGATGATAAACAGAGTCCCCATACTCCTAGTCAATGCAATAATATGACTGGGACATGTAAATTTTGCATGATATGTCTCCCCACATAACCACATTCATTAACACAATATAACAATGTATTTCTCAGGAACTTTTTCAAAAAATTAGGACACTGGATAGCACAGAGGCAGAATCAGATTTCAGTGGGGCAATGACAACAATATACAACCATCTTTTTGGGTTTGCCACTCAATGCTATCACTGCTGTGTGGCAGAACCTTCAATGCAAACTGAGATAAACTATCTTAGCAAATTAGGAAAAACAGGAAGCAAATCCTGCGAGCAGGAACTTCCTTTCTCGATGACCAGATCCATTTTCTCAGCTCCTATACACTAAGTAGAACTATAAACCCAGCAAATAAAACAAGAGACCTGGAAATTAACACAGTCACTGGGCATCTTAATTGCCCACCCAAAAGAAGATGACTCACCTTCTGGTTCACCCATCCTGGCATCAGAATTCACCCAGGTAGGCTCACACCTCCTGGAACTCTATGTGATACCTCCGAGCACATGTATGTTTTACAATATACAATTTAAAATCTCTTTATAACATATGATATAGAATTTATAATATATAATAAAAATTTATAATATTCAATTTATAACGTACAATATAATACACAATTTTTTCTTCATTCCCCCTGGCTCCTGAAGGCCCAAGTGTCCCCTGCCTGTGTCCAGGACCGGCATATGATATGCACAAACATTTCAAGAAGACTCACCAGGTGAGGATGGTCAAACCTGAGGGTCCTGTGGAATCCACTGCCACTCCCCGACACCAGCAGTCCGGCCCTTCCTGCAGTGTTGTTCTTGGTTGCTCACCTCCTTATTCTTAGTGCCAGGGCTTAGCACACGTTCCAATGAAGAACTCCATGACGCTGGACACTATGAAGAGAAAAGGCAAACAGCAGCACTGAGCACCCTTTTTATAAACTCAGAATTCAATGGCATGCATCAGTTCTGATTGTCCAATCAGAAAACAAAGACCAAGCCTGCACAGGTCTGCACAGGGGGTATGGCTCCAGGCTTCTCCTGAGCTCTTACTGTCAGTCCCAAGTAGGAAGTGAGGCCAGGCTCCAGTGCGGTGGGGCCACAGGTTGATTGTTTGTTTCACTTTTGTCATGGAAATTATTCCACCATTCCATTTAAAATTTGACAGAGTTTTTCTCTTTGGGTACCATATATACTCACCTGCTTTTTCTCCTGAGAGTGTTAAATAAAGTGAAATTGCTTTCATACAACTCATGCATTGGGAGTGGTGGTTGTTTTTCAACCTCTGGATTACAGAAAGAAAACAAATATGGGATGCTGGCATTGCAGGTGGTGGCTTAACCCCCTGCACCACAACACTAACCCCTACCCACAGAATTTTAGAAGCCCAATGATTCAGAAACAGATTGTCTCATATGTGGAAGGAAGGCAAATGTATAGTTCCGGTAAGTCAGAATTATTTTCACTGCAGTAAACAAGAAAACACAAGATATTTCAACTAGATGATGAGGTGTCAGATATCACACAAAGGGTTCATTTAGCATCATCGTTACCACTGCTCTATCTTTTCCTCTAACAATTGGTTTAGACGCTGGCTTTAAGTTTGTGGCCAGCCTTGGAAAGCTGGAAATCTTGATGCCAAACACATGTGAGATGAAATTTAATATAGAGGCATACCAGCTAGAACCACAGCCTAGACCTAATTCTAGTGTTTACCTCTTGGCGATAATTAGAAATCATGAACTATATATAAGTAAGAAAACACCATCTCCACCTCCAGATTCCACATTAAGCACCAGGTGCACTGACCAATAATGCTTTACTCCCTCCTCTTTACTAAAAGAATAATAAAAATAAGTCTATGATTGCTGCACTATGTTTATAAGATACCTCTGCTTAAAGATCCACCATTAAATACAAAATTTCAAGGTTGTAGAATAACTCTAAGAGGTTTCTAACTCAGAGAAAGTTCCAGGAGGCATGGTCAGGCCTATCCTTGTCTCTAGAAAAGTGGGCAAACCCTCAGGGCCACAACTATTCCCACAACCCCCAAGGGGACTCAAAAACATGTGAGTGAACAATATTGAAAAGTCACAAGTTGAGAGACTGTGGACTAACGGAACCCTGACAACCATCTAAATTAAAAGAGAACCATCATGCAGACATTGTGCAGATACCACACTACCTGTGGGTAAGACTTCCCAAGTGTGCACAGCACCAGCCCTGGAAATGCCAGTCACAGAGTGCAATGGTGCCCACGGGAGCTGTGCAGTGTGACCACTTTGCCAGTAAGAACATCTCTACCCAACAGCTCTCAAGTAGCTCATGAGTATAATAGCTCCATCGTGTAAAAACTAGCAGAAGTGATTTTTACAGTTTCAAGAATATCTATCAGCTCACCTCACACAAGTCAGTATGTGTCATTTCTGGGGAACACTTTATCAGCAAACTTCAACAAAAATTTCAGTCAAGGTTTTAGGTCAGTGAGTACTGTGGGTCTGCAAGATTCTTTTTCTTTCTGCTTGAGGCTTCCTTTGAATGGTTAAAGGTTCTTGTTTTAAAACATTTCATATATTTTAGAGGAAGACCTACAGAAAGAGAGGGAGAGACAGAGAAAGAGAAACGGCTTCCATACACTAGTTCACTCCCCAAATGGCCACAATGCCCAGGGCTGTGCCAGACTGAAGCCAAGAGCCAGGAGCCTCTTCTGGCTTTCCGACGTGGGTGCAGGAGCCCAAGCACTTGGGCTACCTTGTGCTGCCCTCCCAAGTGCATTAGCAGAGAGCTGGATTGGAAGTTTAGCTGGGACTTTGAATCAGTGTCCATATGGGATGCTGGCATCACGGGCGGTGGCTTTACCACCTAAGCCACAATGCTGGCAACAAATGCTCTTATTTTTTACTTTAAGATTTACAAAACTACCCAGAAATCTAGAAATTTTATAACGCAGCTAATAACTCTGAAAGGAAGAGAGTTAATAATGGGTGCAGTAGGGCATCTGGTACAATGGTTAAGGAGAAACTACCTGACCTGCTGAGTGGACAGTGCTGCCTGTGACTGTCCTCCAAACTTTATTTTCAGCTGTGAGCACCAGAGCTTTGAAAGCACATTTAATAATGTACAACACAAAGACGCAGAACAAAGGGCAGTCAGGCGCAAGAGTGCACTGCTCTAGTCTTATCTACACTGAAGGTGCGGAGGTCTGTTCAACACCTGTGTAAATTTCAACAAAGTCAGCCTTGTGGTAGGGAGAGAGCTGGCATGCAACGCCACTTCATTCTACAGAATGCTGACAGAGACTTGCTGTCTAGTGGTTCAGATGCTGCGTTCTAGTGGTTCAAGTGCTACTGTACATGAACAGCATCACTCTTTCAAAGACACACACATGAGGTTCACAGTTTCATTCGCCTCAACATGGCATTTGACAAAGAAAGTAGGTAGCTCAATTATCTCCCTCTAGCAAATCAAAAGTCAGTGCAGCTCCCGGGATTCTTCTGGAACTTGCCTAACTGGCTCTTTTCTCAGGCCTTCTGTACTTGCTATTGCCAGACCCAGCTGGATGGGGCCTTCTACAGGTTATCATGGGGCTCATGCTTTACTGCACGTGGGTCTCTATTCAAGAGTCCCATCAGAAAAGAACCTTCCAAGACCATTCGAGTGGCATCCTCTCCTGCACCTGGTCTCCCCACACACACCTCCTCCCTTGTCCTTTTCTCTGCTTTATTTTTCATCTGAAGTCTTCACCATACTTGACATTACATGCTACTGGATGTGTTCAAGGCTGACCCACTCTAGAATGCAAGCTCATGAAGGCAGAGCATGGTCTTGTTTATCATGCTATTCTCAGGGTCCATGGCCAGTAACAGCCTTCAATAAACATTATCTGAATTAATAAACAGGAATGGAAGCCAAACACTTCTGTTTCTAGCTTAACAGATGCTCACCTCCCTGTTAGCTTTAACAGACTCCTCTACACTGCCTATCCTTGGTGTGCCAACAGGCAGTGATGGAAGGGCAGCTCTCCCCTTCCGTGGCGCTGCAGCATTAAGTTGTTATAAGACCATCTCCCCACCCTTCTGAGGCTATGCTCCATACTAGTGAAAAGACACAGTTTTACCAGAAATCAACCCAAACATCTACAGCCAACTTATATTTGATCAAGGATCTAAAACCAATTCCTGGGGCAAGGACAGTCTATTCAATAAATGGTGCTGGGAAAACTGGATTTCCACGTGCAGAAGCATGAAGCAAGACCCCTACCTTACACCTTACACAAAAATCCACTCAACATGGATTAAAGACCTAAATCTACGACCTGACACCATCAAGTTATTAGAGAACATTGGAGAAACCCATCAAGATATTGGCACAGGCAAAGAGTTTCTGGAAAAGACCCGGGAGGCACAGGCAGTCAAAGCCAAAATCAACTATTGGGATTGCATCAAGTTGAGAAGTTTCTGTACTGCAAAAGAAACAATCAGGAGAGTCAAGAGACAACCGACAGAATGGGAAAAAATATTTGCAAACTATGCAACAGATAAAGGGTTAATAACCAGAATCTACAAAGAGATCAAGAAATTCCACAAAAACAAAACAAACAACCCACTTAAGAGATGGGCCAAGGACCTCAATAGACATTTTTCAAAAGAGGAAATCCAAATGGCCAACAGGCACATGAAAAAATGTTCAAGGTCACTAGCAATCAGGGAAATGGAAATCAAAAGCACAATGAGGTTTCACCTCACCCCGGTTAGAATGGCTCACATTCAGAAATCTACCAACAACAGATGCTGGCGAGGATGTGGGGAAAAAGGGACACTAACCCACTGTTGGTGGGAATGCAAACTGGTCAAGCCACTATGGAAGTCAGTCTGGAGATTCCTCAGAAACCTGAAGATAACCCTACCGTTCAACCCAGCCATCCCACTCCTTGGAATTTACCCAAAGGAATTTAAATTGGCAAACAAAAAAGCGGTCTGCACCCTAATGTTTATTGCAGCACAATTCACAATAGCCAAGACCTGGAACCAACCTAAATGCCCATCAGTGGTAGACTGGATAAAGAAATTACGGGATATGTACTCTTTAGAATACTATACCGCAGTAAGAAACAACGAAATCCAGTCATTTGCAATAAAATGGAGGAATCTGGAACACATCATGCTGAGTGAAATAAGCCAATCCCAAAGGGACAAATACCATATGTTCTCCCTGATTGGTGACAACTGACTGAACACCAAAAAGGAAACCTGTTGAAGTGAAATGGACAATATGAGAAACGGTGACTTGATCAGCATAGCCCTGTTAATGAACAACTCAATACATTATCCCTCTTAGTAGTTTTTTTTGTCTGTTCTACTTAATATGACTGGTTTAATTCTGTAATTAATACACAGTTATTCTTAAGTGTTGAAATTTAACTGAAATGTGATCCCTGTTAAACATAAGAGTGGGAATAAGAGAGGGAAGAGATGTACAACTTGGGACATGCTCAAGCTGACTTGCCCCAAATGGTAGAGTTAGAAATATACCAGGGAGCCGGCGCCGTGGCTCAATAGGCTAATCCTCCACCTTGCGGCGCCGGCACACCGGGTTCTAGTCCCGGTTGGGGCGCCGGATTCTGTCCCGGTTGCCCCTCTTCCAGGCCAGCTCTCTGCTATGGCCAGGGAGTGCAGTGGAGGATGGCCCAGGTGCTTGGGCCCTGCACCCCATGGGAGACCAGGAAAAGCACCTGGATCCTGGCTCCTGCCAGGATCAGCACGGTGCGCCGGCTGCAGCGGCGGCCATTGGAGGGTGAACCAACGGCAAAGGAAGACCTTTCTCTCTCTGTCTCTCTCTCTCACTGTCCACTCTGCCTGTCAAAAAAAAAAAAAAAAGAAATATACCAGGGGACTCCAATTCAATCCCATCAAGGTGGCATGTACCAATGCTATCTCACTAGTCCAAGTGATCAATTTCAGTTCACAATTGATCATAATGAAAGGACTAAGAGTCAAAGGGAGCACATAAACAAGTCTAGTACCTGCTAATACTAACCGATAGAATAAATAAAGGGGAGAGTGATCCAACATGGGAAGTGAGATACTCAGCAGACTCATAGAATGACAGATGTCCTAAATAGCACTCTGGCCTCAGAATCAGCCCTAAAAGCATTCGGATCTGGCTGAAAAGCCCATGAGAGTATTTCAGGCATGGAAAGCCAAGACACTCTGGCAAAAAAAAAAAAAAACCACCTCAATGAAAGATCTCCACGAGTGAGATCCCAGTGGAAAGAACAGGTCTTCAAAGAGGGAGGTACCTTTCTCTGAAGGGAGGAGAGAACCTCCACTTTGACTATGACCTTGTCTAAACAACATAAGAGTCGGAAAACTCAAGGGGCTTCCATAGCCTTGGAAACTCATGACTGGAGCATAGGGAGATTACTGATGCCATAAATAGGAGTGTCAATTTGTAAAGTCAACAACAGGAGTCACTGTGCACTTACTCCTCATGTAGGATCTCTGTCCTTAATGTGCTGTACATTGAGACTTAATGCGATAACGAGTACTCAAACAGTATATTTCACTTTGTGTTTCTATGGGGGTGCAAACTGTTGAAATCTTTACTTAATGTATAATAACGGATCTTCTCAAAAAAAAAAAGTAGAAATTATCAATTCCCAACTTGACTCTCACTGGAATTAAACATGACAATAGGTCTGATCTGATTTCATCATCATTAAAAAAAATCATCTATTATTTTTCACTTTATGTTTCTGTGTGGGAGCAAACTGTTGAAATCTTCACTTAATGTATGCTAAACATATCTTCTGTATATAAAGAGAATCAAAAATGAATCTTGATGTGAATGGAAGGGGAGAGTGAGTGGGAAAGGGGAGGGTTGCGGGTGGGAGGGACATTATTGGGGGGAAGCCATTGTAATCCATAAGCCATACTTTGGAAATTTATATTCATTAAATAAAAGATAAAAAAAAAGGAAAGACACAGTTTTACCATCTAAGCTACACACGGATTCAGCGAGAGCACATGGGTTGCTGTGCCACCCTGGCATCCCAGAAGATCCCACAATCCCCCCAGGAAGCACTCAGCTCCACCCTGAGGTAGCACTCATAAATCCACCATGTGTGTCTATGATCACAGTTGGATATCCAAGTGGTCACACAGATCCGAGGAACTCTGTTACATGTTTTCTGGCATCTGAACACTCAGAGTCAACTCAGTACAACATTTCCAGTGGCCAGAGCCTCAACACCTAGGACCAAGCAGCTCAGAACATGTCTTGGGGGTGGGGGCAGTGAACTTCCCAAGGCAGGAAATGTTCAAGTTGCACAGAAAGTCTTGACCTCTGATCCAAAATCCATTTGTGGGGCCTGGAGGTCACCTTAGTTATAAGGGGGCTGTTCTGGATGCAACATTTCTATCATCGGCCTTGTGTGGACCTTGATTGCAGGCTCAGGGCAGCAACAGAGCAGGAACAGCCTTCTCCCCTGAGTCATTTGCCAGTACAGTTCTGAAAGCGTGGTACCAAAGAAACATCAAGCAGAGTCGTGGGGACTCAGTACAGCTCACAGAAATTGCAGGGGGCCTCTGTCACACAGCAGCATTCCAGTTCCTCTCAGTGCTCAAGGTCGGGGAAGAGCAGCCAGGGACTTTATCCAGTGCTCCATTCTGGGTTCAGGAGCCTAAGACCTTGGACCATCTCCATCTGCTTTCCGAGGGATGTTAGCAGCCAGCTGGATCACACGGGGAATGGCTTCTGGGAGGGCCTGGCATGGTGAGGTAGCAGGTAAAGCCACCGCCAACAGTGTCGGCTTCCCATATGGGCGCTGGTTCGAGTCCTGGCTGCTCCACTCTGATGCAGATCTCTGCTGTGGTCTGGGAAAGCAGTACAAGATGGCCCAAGTCCTTGGGCCCCTGCACTCATGCAGGAGATCCCAGGGAGGCTCCTGGATCCCGGCTTTGGATTCGCTCTGCTGCAGCCATAGCAGCCAATTAGGGAGTGGACCAGCAGATGGAAACCTGTTTCTCTGTCTCTCTCTCTCTCTCTCTCTCTCTCTTTCTCTCTCTCTGCATCTCATCCTCTCTGTGTGTAACTATGAATTTCAAATAACTAAGTAAGATATTTGAGAAGAAGTAAAAAATTAAAAAAGGAAGACATAGCTATAAACAAAATACTACATCAAGGCCATCTACTAGAGCTTATGTCAAATTTGAGACTATATGCACTAAATGCCCTATTAACACAGAATTTGAAAAGGTATTTAACTCTGTCTTAGAAAACATTCAGGTAACCATTCATTCTCTTCTTCCTTAAGACATTCTGTGTGGTTTACCTGTGACTAACACAACAGAAAATCTTTGTAATTTATTCAACACTTATGTACCCACTCACACAAGGACTTGAAACACCTGTGATCTACACAGTTCTTCACTGAACACAGCTATACTTCCAAATACCCACCTTCCACAGTCTACCCCTGCATTTAATCTATGGATCAAGTTTGAAACAGGACAAATCATGCCTTCTACAAACCAAGAGAGAATGCAGAAAGATAGCATCTGAGGTCACTGCTAACTTTTTCCATGAGCATGTTATCATGTTGGTACTTTTTCATTCATTTCTCAATGTTAGATAAAAATTGGGAGGGAGAAAGTCCAACTATCCCTATTTGCAGATGACATGATTCTATATATAGCAGATCCAAAAGATTCAACTATCGAAACTCAGACTAGAGGTTGGTAAAATGGCAGGATAGAAAATCAACAGCCTTTTTATACACAGACAAGGTCATGGCTGAGAAAGAACTTGAGACCAATCCGGTTAACATAGTTACAGAATAAATAAAATGGCTTGGAATAAATTTAACCAAGGATGTTCAATATCTGAGAATAACAGAGGATTAAAGAAAGGGATAGAAGAGGACAACAACAAACCAAATAGAGAAGCTTCTGCGCTGCAGAAGAAACACTCAGCAATGTGAAGAGGCACCTAACAGAAAGGGAGAAATAATCTGCAAAGCATGTAACTGATAAAGGAACAACTACCAGAAACTTTCAATAAAATCAACAACAGCACAATCAAAGCTTAGCACACTGTGCACAACTGACAGTTACTCCGGAAATGAAAGGGTGGCTACCCTACAAACTCAATCATTCCCAGAACAGAATACACATGGGGAAAGCCCACAAACTATCCCGATAGACACAGAAAATCTGGTTCACAAAAACGTCCATCACTCTCGCAATACTAAAACACAAATCATCACATCAGGAACAGAAGCAACACCTCGGCCTGACAAGGCTCTTTCGTGAAAAACCCACAGAGCGCTAACATCACAAACAATGCGAGGAACCCGAAACTGGCCTCCTAGACCAGGAAACAGACACGCACTTTCGCTCTCTTTCCTCCCATCAACAGTCTCTGACGTCTGGAGCAGGGCGGCTGGGCCCTCAAAAAGCAAACAGACGGGAACAAGGAGCCGTTCCGGGAGGAGACTGAGCCACCTCTGCCCTCGCCCAGCAGCTCGCACCCTGGGGACCATTCCAGACCATCTGCCCAGCATGACCGTGACCCCACCCGCGTCTTCGGGATCCAAGAGCAACAGGCACGCGGGCAGCCAAGACGCCCAGCGGGTAACCGCAACAGCCGCGCGTCACTCACCGCCAACGGCAGCCCGGGCTGCTGCCGGGTCAGAGGTCCGCGAAGGCCGTGGCTTCCAGAAGGGGCCAAAGAAGAGCAACGTACCTGGGAAACGGCGTGGAAGCCTCGGACACACAGGCTCTCCTGATCCGGCCTGACCCTGGGGACGCTGGCTCTCCCTCAGGCTCGGCCAGCCGCGTCGACGACGGCTCCTCTCCTCACGGCTTGCGCAGGCTCTGGAGCAGAAGCGGACCCGCGGCGCTGACTCCGAGCGGAGCACTGCGGGGCAGTCAGCGCCGGGCCTGCGGGTGCACTTCCGGTCACAGCGCCAGGCGCAGGCACACTCCCCACGGGCCGTCACCATGGCGCCCCAGGACGCACCTGCACACTGCTGCATCCAGCATCCCAAGCACCAAGGCCGCTTCCAGTCCCGCCTCTCCAGGCTGTGACCAGGGACGAGGACGCTGATGGCCCAGGTTCTCTGGACCCCACCTCCCTGCCTCGTGGGAGTCCTCAATGCAGCTCCTGCCTCCTGCCTCCTGCCTCCTGCCTGGTCCAGCGCTGGCCGTTCGTTGCAGCCACTTGAGGAGAGAAGCAGTGCAGGGGGCATCGTCAGCTCGCTCGCTCTCTCTCTCTCTCTCTCACTCACTGAGTGATCGTCCATCTAGGGGTTCACCCCCGAGGTGGCTACAAAGGCCGGGACTGGGACAGAAGCCAGGGATTTTAGCTGGCGCTCCATTCAGGGTTCAGGGGCCTAAGTCCTTGGGCCGTCTCCCTCTGCTTTCCCAGGCGTGTTAGCAGATAGCTGGATCCCACCGCGAATGGCTTCCGGGAGGGTCGGCACTGTGAGGTAGCCGGTAAAACCACCACCTGCAGTGCTGGCATCCCATATGGGCGCCGGTTCGAGTATGGCTGCTCCACTTCCGATGCAGCTCTCTGCTGTGGTCTGGGAAGGCAGCAGAAGATGCCCCAAGTGCTTGTGCCTCTGCACCCATGAGCAGATCCCGACGAGGCTCCTGGCTTCAGATACTCTCAGCGACGCCCATTGCAGCCAATTGGGTAATGGACCAGCAGATGGAAGACCTGACCTCTCCTCTCCTCTCCTCTCCTCTCCTCTCCTCTCCTCTCCTCTCCTCTCCTCTCCTCCCTGCCTCGCTCTCATCTCCTCCATGTGTAACTCTCAATGTCAAATAAATAAATAAATAAGATCTTCAAGAAAAGTAAAGCAATGTAAAAAGGAAGACATAGCTATAAGTAAAATAAATACCACATCAAGGACAACTACAAGAGTATTTTTTTAGAATTTGGTATTACATGCATTACCTACCCGATTAACCCAGAATTTGAAAAAGAGTTTAACTCGGTCTTAGAAAAGATGTTGGTACCCAGTCATTCTCTTCTGTCTTACAAACATTCTGTGTGGCATTATCTCTGACTTGTGCTGAGGAAATCTTTGGAATTTTCGCATTCAGACGCTTACGTACCCACTCCCACAAGGACTTGAAACACCTGTGATCTACAGAGTTCTCCACGGAACACAGCTCTGCTTCCCAGTCCCCGCCCTCCACAGTCTAGCCCTGCCTTTAAAGTATGGATCATGTTGGGAATAGGCCAAATCGTGTCTTCCACAAAGCAAGATAGAATACAGAAAGGAAGCATCTGAGGTCACTGTGGACATTTTCTGCATGCACATTATCATGTTGGTACTTTCTCCTCTCATTGCTCAATGTTAGCTACATATTGGGAGGGAGGAATTCCAACTATCCCTATTTGCAGACGACATGATTCTATATGTATAGGAGATCCAAAAGACTCCACTAAGAGACTATCAAAACTCAGAGTAGAGAGTGGTAAAGTGGCAGGAGAGAACACCAGCAGCCTATTTGTATACACAGACAATGGCATGGCTGAGAAAGGACTTCAAAGGCCAATCCCGTTCACATAGCTACAAAGAAAAGAAAATAGCTTGGAATCAATTTAACCAAGGATGTTCAATAGCTAAGAATCACAAAACATTAAAGAATGAAGTAGAAGAGGGCACCAAAAAACACACACACACACACACACACACACACCAATAACAAATTGAGCAGCTTCTGCACTGCCAAAGAGACACTCAGCAAAGTGAAGAGGCAAACTAACAGTTGCAAAGCATGCAACTGATAAAGAATCAACTGCCAGAAACTTTCAAGAAACTCAACACCAGAAAAACCACTCACCCACGCAAGAAACGGGCAAGGGACTTCAACAGGCAAAATATTGAAAGAAAGGAAATCTAAATGGCCAGCAAACACATGCAGAAATGCTTAGGATCACGAGCCATCAGGGAAATGCAAATCGATACTACAACAGCCTTGAGGGTGTGGGGGGAAAGGCACCCTCATCCACTGCTGGTGGGAATGTAAACTGGTATCGCCACTGTGGAAGACAGTAGGGAGATAAGTCAGGAATCTGTATACAGACATACCATATGAGCCAGCCATTCTACCCCTGGGAATATACCCAAGAGAAATGAAATCAGCATACCAAAAAAGAGTGATCTCTGTCTGCATATTTACTACAGCTCAATGCACAGTAGCAACGATGTTCAATCAGCCAAAATGCCCATCACCTGAAGAATGAATAAAGACAATATGGGCTATGGACACCATGACATGCATATACGGACTGCATGGCCTGGCTACTGTGCATCCTACACTGCAATAAGCATAGGCCTGTGAAATCCTCTCTGTCTACACAACGACTTCTTTTCCTTCAATATGTTCCCAGTTGTGGGTACGTCCATACAGTTTTCCATGTTGACAGGACTAATTTCACATGGGAAACTGGATTGCTATACAGAATACAGACATCGGATCCATGAACCCAATTTTACCTTCAAACACTGGAACAGCAAAGTATATCTTGAGAAACTGGAAGGAGGAAAAAGATTCAAGCGGAAATCCACCCAACGGCATAGAAAATACCACAACAGACATTCAGTGAGACCAAACTACAGAGCTTGAAAACTCAGTCAACCTGACAAAACGTTTATCCACAGGAAGCAGGGGAAAAAGGAGAACAGACTCAAGTGACTTGACAAAAGAAATGACAGAGAGGACATTGCTACCAACCTTCCAAAATAATGATCCAAAAGCACTATGGAAAAACCACGCCACAAGGATTTGGTCAACCTAGATAGAGTGGATTGACTCACAGAAAGATGCAAACCACTAAAACTGGATACAGTGAAACAAGAAACTCTGAATACACTTATAATCTGCAAAGAGACTGTAGTAGCAGGGAAACCAAAACAAACAAACCAAACAGACATGAAGAAAAGTCCAGGTCCAGATGGCTCCACCGGTGAGAACTCCCATGGAAAAGATAATTAAAATCCGTGATTCGCAAACCAGGAGATGAAGAGGAAAAGCCTTCCATTTCATTCCATCAGACCAGCCTCATCCCAACATCCAACACAAGCACATCATAAGGAAAATGGCGCACACATATCCATCACAAATGTGTCACATGCCTCAACAAAATATTACCAGACGCCATCCAGAAGCACAACCAAGAAGCAGACAGCTGGATCCCAAGGTGAACGGCTTCCGGGAGGGTCGGCACTGTGAGGTAGCTGGTAAAGGCACCACCCGCAGTGCCGGCTTCCCATATGTGCGCTGGTTCAAGTAGGGCTGCTTCACTCACGTCCAGTGCAGCTCTCTGCTGTGGTCTGGGAAGGCAGCAGATGATGCCCCAAATCCTTTTGCCTCTGTACCCATGAGGAGATCTCAGCAAGGCTCCTGGCTCCTGGCTTCAGATACTCTCTGCTACGCCCACTGCAGCCAATTGGGTAATGGACCAGCAGGTGGAAGGCTTCTCTCCTCTCTTTATCCCTCCCTCCCTCCTTCCCTCCCTATCTCCCTTCCTCCGCTGAAATAAAATGAATAAACGTTTTTAAATTTCATAGAAAAAGAGTAAAAATAGCCATCCATCAACTCTTTATCTACAATTACAATTTTGGAACAATTCAACATTCACTTTACTTCACATTCACAGTCTCTATGTCTCCTGAACTATATCAAATAAATGAAGACATGATACTCTTTTAGCCATAACTACACCTGCATGTTTCCTAAGAACAAAAACATTTTTCTATGATTTTACTTTGATAATCACATTCAGTATATTTGTGATTATACACTAACATCAGGTCGAGTACAGCATACATTAAATTTCTCCAATCGTTCCAAAAATATCTTTAACCTTTTCTTTTAATCTAGAGTACAAGGAGTCTTCAGAAAATTCATGGTAAGTGAATTTTATGAAAAACATCTATTCTTGGATTTCCATTTTTTGCACCAAGTAAGTTTATTTTCATTCTATTTTTCTAAGAACTTTTATGATTAAGGACAGCATGGGCTGGCGCTGTGGCAAAACATGTTAAAGCCATGGCCTGAAGTGCCGGCATCGCATATGGGTGTCAGCGAAGTCCCGGCTGCTGCTCTCAAAATCTAGCTCTCTGCTATGGTCTAGGAAAGCAGTGGAGGATGGCACAAGTCCTTGGGCCCCTGTACCTACCTGGGAGACCAGGAAGAAGCTCCTGGCTTCACATCAGCACATCCCTGGCCATTGTAGCCATCTAGGGAGTGAACCAGAGGATGGACGATATCTCTCTCTGTCTCTCCCTCTCTCTGTAACTCTGGCTTTCAAATAAATAAAATAAATCTTTATAAAAAAAAGTACAGTGCATAGCACTGGATTGTTCTCTCTCTTCTATCTTTCAGCAAGAACAGTCTTTCCAACTGTTTCTACCTAACGGCGATTGAAATACAATTATCTACCTTACAGAGTTGGTGGGAGAGGGCACCTAATGAAGCCCAGCACCATGGACTCCGCCCATACATCCACGGCATCCAGCAGCCTGTTCTCTGCTGTACTTGTTGGTGGGAGAGGGCACATAACAACGCCCAGTACCATGGCCTCCCTCCGGGCCCCCAAAACATCCAGCTGCCTGCTCTCTGTTGCACTTGTTGTTGTGAGAGTGAACAGGAATCACAGGAAGAAAGAGCCCAGCACAGCCTCCTACAAGGCACCATGGACTCCCCGGTGCACCTGCGGATTCCCGCAGCCTGTTCTCTGCTGCACATAGCAACACCTCATTCCAGAAGCCTGTGAGCCATGTGAGTCCTTGCCAAGGAGCAAACGGGGCCCACATGTGCTCCCCAGTAAAATGCTTCTGAGAGGGGCAGACTGAGAGCCACTGCAGGGTCAGCTCTTGCTTGCAGGAGGCCACAGATGAGCCTCTGCCCCTGAGCCTGAAGCTGTCCCTAGACGAGGGCTTCACGGTGGCCTCCTGACTGCACAGGTGGAACCGCAAGTGAT